GTTGCCTCTGCCTTAAAATCCCAAATCACTCTGTATTGTATTAAGTCTTGTGTAGACTTTTGTGTAGAATCTGTCAAATTATAGTCGTTATACTATAGTTGAGCAGCTTCTAATATCAGTATAGTTAAAGGAAAAACTACAGGTTAACAGTATCTAGACAATATACAAACTATTGAACACTTAGCAGTAGAATGCAGAATCAACAAGATGATTTAAATAAAAGCCTACAAATTTCTAAAGACTAGTCAAACAGAAGTTATTTTAGACTTAATAGTAAAATCTTCTTAAAAAAGATCTCAGAAAATGCCAAAATATATAACATAATTCTGTAGTTACATACATATGCTATATACAAAATCTGATGCTATTATACAGCATATAAATATAGTGAGATACAATATTCAAAGATAACAATTGATGCTATAACAAGAACCAAAAATCTCTAAAAAGATTAGTTTGTTTTGAATTAAAACTTTAATCAAACCAGTTTATAAAAAAATTTATAAATATTTAACTTAAAACTCCTAATGTGTAAATAATAATTTTGTAAATATATTTAATAATAAAGAACATTATATGCATCCTATAATGCTTTACCTGAGATAGTTAAAAAAAAATACTCAAATCTAGATAAGTCTTGACTACTCCAGTTGGTTTAGATTGCAGATAAATTAGTCTGAACTTTTATTTTTTCTATAATATTTTAAAAACAGAATTATATTTTATATAAAATTTCAATTAAATATTCAATAAAAATAAAAACATAACCTTATTATTAAAATTAAAAAAAATTAACTAATCAAATTTAGTACTCTTATGTTATCTAAAAAAATTTAAACCATCCTAAAAAAACTTTGTAACATATATAAGTATATATTTTTTAAATATAATAATACTTTAAAATTTTACCATAATAGATAAATTATTTTATTTATATTTTGTAAAATTTTAATAAAAATTAGTTGTAATTTTAAAAAGTTTTATAAGTAGTATATTTAAATTTAAATTATATAAAAATGATCTACATACCCTCTACCCTTAATATCAAAAAAAAATTTTTTCTATTCACTATTGCTATTGTTAGCTTATAATTTTGATGAATCAAAAAAGATACTTTAAACAATAAGCGTTGGCGCAGTAAATGACCGGAATACTATAATCGTTTAAGTCCTCATTTAAATACTGCATAAACAATTAAATGTATCGATCGCATTTAAATAATGTATAAACAATTAAATTTACTAATTGTCAAATTTTTATGATACAAATAATCGAACAGAATAAGAACATGCACTGTATATGAGACCAAGAATTCTATTCGTTACGCAACAGAATGCAAACACGTGATTAAAAGAACAGTACGAAACTACCCCAGTCAGTATAGTCAATGGACGGCTTCGGACATAAGTTTGAACATTTTGGACAAAAATATAAATTAAATTTTACTAAGATAATTTATATACTTTTCTAAGTAAAATATATTCAGAACCTAAAATCATAACAAATTTATTAATTATTAGAGTTTGGGAACTCTTAACTATTTCCTTTCTTTGGCTCTAAAGTAGCTCTAACCCAAACGAACTTTCGATTATCACGTGACTGCAACATTTTCAGGCGATACTGGGAAGATAACAGTACAATCAATTATCTTATTGTAGTCATTTCATTAAAAGCCCGCATTCTGTTATGTGTAAAAAATTTTTAGTTTTCACTTGACAGCGCTCAAATGGTGTTGAACTCCATAATGATAAGCGTGTCTAGCTTGAACAAATCGATATGTTTAGGTTAAGAAATTATTCAAAATTACTTATTCTATGTAAAAAAATATTTATGGTATAAATTATTGCAGTTTTCGAAATGGTTAAATGGCAAATAAATTTTTTTTTTTTTGGAGTACTTTTGATTGCCTTAGCACATTGATTGAAGATTGATGCCTGACCTGATTTATGTAATTGTTTCTGAATCAAAAACAATCATATAAAATTGGATATCAATCGCGCTAAGGTAATCGAGTGTTCGAATGTACGGCAAAAAAAAAAAATTATTTATCATTTTTCAATCATTCAAAAACTGCGGTAATAATATAATCAATGTAATACTTTTAAATTGAGTCCTATTGCTACAGTTTTTAAACAAGTGAGATTCGTATGGTCGATAATTCTTTGTGATTTCAAATCTATAATCTTTATGGGTCAGAGTACATCGCTTATTAATATTAGTTCATTGGTATTTTAAATTAACGCTACTTTAAAAATAGAACCAATTTTGGAACGATTTTTGAAAAAAAACAAACTAGATACTAATTTCGAGGATATTATATAATTATTTATATATAGTAAACCATTTCAAGTGTTTTTTTCGGAATGGGAGTGCTCAAAGAATAATAGTTATTAATTGAAAATTTTTTTTAGCTTTTTTTTTTACAAATTTGTGCTTACACCAATATTAACTTACCTTAAAGTACAAATAATAATTAGTTCCTAAATTTATTATCATCTGGATAATATCAAATGAATATGAGCTAGTCGTTCCATGTTTAATGAATTTAATGAAAAATGATTCACAAAACGAGAGTCGATAATCACGAAAATGCATATTAATTAGAAAGAAAAAATTACATTTGAAAAAAAGGAAAAAGAGAATCGGCGATATAATTCAATATTGCCTTTTTAACCTATGTCATTTTGGCGAATCAAGCTTTGGTTTCTTGGATGGTGATTGATTTTCAGTTAACAATGCTTGAAAATTAAACAATGCAATTTTCCAATCATCACTTTGAATTAAGCCTTGTAATGCTCTTTTGCCATGTTCAAAATGATTTCGTCCTTTTTTAACATTATTTGAATTCTTTGAATTTAAAACGACATTATCTAAAGATTTTGAGGTTTCCGAAATTGACTGAAGAGAATTTAATATTGAACGACATGTATTCTGCATATCTTGCTTGGGATTTGAAGATGCTACATTGGTGGATGTTCCTTTCAAATTGGGCAATATGGTAGGAATGGTTTGTGTGACTTTTAATCTACCATCATTTTTCACCGATTCCTCGATAATCTCTTCGCTGCTATCGTCTTCTGTCTCATCGGAAACCAACCAAATATCGTCATCTATTAAATTGAGTTATTAAATATTTGATTAAAACATAAAAATTCATTAAGATTTTATTAGTCATACCAGCATCAATGTCCAATGCCAATTCTGCTACTTCACGAGATGGTAATGTTGCGAAAGGAATATCCTCCATCTGAACACTATTCATATATAATATCGATGCGCGAATATGTTTGCATGCGTATCCTTTAGAAAGGAAATCAATGCATTGGCATGATACCTCTGCAATTGGATATATACATGCCACATAAATGATGTCTTTTTTATCCGATCTTACCCATACACTAAGTGTATCAGTGTATTCGTATTTCATAATTCCCCGAAATGATGCTGCGATTTTTTTTGCCTCATCATCTCGTTTTTTATCAGGCTCCGTATATACAGAGTGTTTATAATTCGCTTTTAAAAGTTCCACATAAGTTTGATCTATATAATTTTGATGTTGTACTTTTAGGTTCTCTTCTAATGATTTTTGGAATCTACGTCTTTTCATGAAATTGGGTGTAACACATTCAACTAAGTACATGACCAATATATCAACTCGTAACTGTGTACCTCGCCTTTGAAGCTGACGTAGAGATCCTTTATTGAGATGATTATCAAGTGGTTCAATACAGTTATTGGTAGTGGGGATGGACGACACGTCAATGTTCAAAATTTTTGCTGCATTTATTCTCCCAACTTGTGACCAACAAAGTATCGTGTATCCACACCAATTGTTTAACAGATATTGAAAAAATTTAATTCCACCCTCTAAAATGCTAAGGATCTGACATGATGAATTAGTCTTATATGCTCCATCAAATTGACTCTAAAAATTAAAATCAAGTTAATTGACATCTTTTTTTAAAAACATTAAAATTAAAATATTAAGAAAAGTAAAATTACCTTCAAACCTTTTTGCGCATTTAGGACAGTTACTTTAATATGGTTAGTATCATTCATAGTGTTTATTTGATGGATCAAGCTTCTTATATAAGATTTCATTTCTTTTCTATAAGAAACGATTTGCTGAGAGCCGTTGGCACCAAGAAATCGCTTTATTATCCTGTTCCATTCTTTATTTACATGAAAGAAATTATAAATCACTGCAGCACCTGGCCAAACTTGGTGTACTGCTTGCTGTTCTCGATAATTTGCGTCTGTCATAATTACCTAAATTTAAGGAAATCGAAAATTTTTTAAACATAAGAACATAAATTATCTTTAACACATTTAATAACAACAACAATAATAATAATAAATAATAATAATAATAATAATAATAATAATAATAATAATAATAATAATAATAATAATAATAATA